TACGTATACGTATATACGCATATATATGTACATACATGTTTCGTCTTCGTATATCTTGGTCTTTTTTTCCAAATTCTGGGCATGTATATGTGCGTATATATATATATATATATATATATATATATATATATATATATATATATATACATGTATATATATATATATATATATATATATATATACATGCATACATGCACGTATGTATGTATGTGTGCATTATGGTAAGTGAGGTTGAAAACGCACTTCTTCCACGTAATCGTAGAAATGCTACTTTCTTACAGGACCTTTCAAGTCTCGTGATCAAAGCTGCAGTTTGCTTTAGCAGAGGGAGGTATACGTGTACACACATACACATATATATAGCTTTTTCTTTATGTTCCTCAGCCTCTCTTTTTTTCTCTTTGTGGACGTACGCATGCGTATATCTTTGTCTCTCTTTCTAGCTGTCTGTCTATGTATCTATCTGTCTATCTCTCTCTCTATCTATATATATACACATATGTATACGTATACATACATGTGTGCACGCATGTTTGTGATACTATGAATGAAGTCCAAATTGGGCTTCTCCCGTGACGTGTCGTAAGTGCTACTCTCTTGCAAAACATGTACGATTTCGTGATAAAAGGCTCTCTCTCTCTATCTCTCTATATACGTATGTATATGTGTATATATGTGTATCCACACGTGTATGTATATACACACATATATATAAGTACACACATAAATCTGTCTACCCATAGGTATGTGTATATATACGTGTATATATGTGTAGGAGGATTGTAGGGATCTTTGTGGCAAGGAGGCAGTTCTCATCCAGAGCAACAAGGCAGTCAGCGCTGCGTACGTGTTTGTTACCGCTATGTCGTGCGCTATTGAAACCCCCGCGGGCCGCTCAGCATCGACTATATCAAAATAGATAGATATCTCGTTCATTTGTAGAGACGCCTTGGGAATAGCAGCAAACAAATTATAAAAACGATCGTATATGTTTGTATAAGAATGTACATGTGTGTTTGTATGTACACGTATAGTATATATGTTCGTGGATATGCGTCTGTATACGTGTGGTATATATATGTATATGTCTATGCACACGTATGCGCATGTATATGCGTGTATACGTATACATATGTATAAGATTATATGTATGTACGCATGTGTATGTACAGGTATGTATGTGAATACACATATATCTGCATATGTATGTCTATATACGTCTGGAGATATATATGCGAAGAGAGAAAGGGGGTGGGAAGATACGCTGGTGGAAGGGGATGCTGTGTAAGTGATGACGGGGGTGAATAGAGGAAGTTGTACATATATAACGTGTGTAATATATATGTATGTATTATATGTGTAAATCTGTATATTAAATATAGGTGCGTATATATATATATATATATATATATATATATCTGTATTTCTAGCATGTGTATATACATGATATTTGTATATGTGTATAGTATAAAGATATTATATCTAAAGTGTAAACATAGCATAGTTATGTCGTCATTTTTTGTTGTGGCGTAGTCTTCAATAGAAAAGCGACAGAACTTTTTCCCCGCGTCCTCTCATTTATAGCCGACGGAAGAGCGGCATATCTCTTCTAGTACTTTGCTTCTGCTGCTCCTGCCGCCGCTGGTGCTTCTCGTGCTGCTCTTGATGCTGCTTCTTCTTTTTCTGCTGTTGCAGCTGCTGTTCTGACGTTCTCTTCCCAGCGGTTCTCCTCTTCTGTCTACCAATATTGCTGCCGCGTGGGGCTTTGCTGCCTGCTGCTGGAGGTGTAGTGCTGCTGCACTCCCTGCCACTGCTTGATGCAGAGATACAGAACATCTGCAGCGGTATTTTTTCTCCACTATGCTGTTGGCACTGCTGCTGTTGACGCTGTGCGGAATGCGGCTGCATGTATCTATGTATACATATATATATATATATATATATATATATATATATATATATATATGTATATATATATATACACAACTGCATCTGACTGTGCAAATATATGTGCCGCTTTTGCATAGTTTCTTGTTTTTCCTTGTAAAGGGGGCTTCAAATTTCACTGTGGGTTTCCCGTCCCGCCTCTCTCTTCTCCTCTCTTTCAGTCGCAGTGGATGGTAATGTCTGCTGTTGCTGTTGGTGCTGGTGCAAATAAGGTCTCCCCTCGTCCGATCTTGCTGCTGCTCCTCTTCTTCTATTTTTCTATACGTCCTTCATATATTGCCCCTTTTTCTATTTTTTTTTTTACCTCCTTCTTTTGTTCCTCTCTCTCTCCTTTTTTCGCAGTTTGATCCTCGGATCCACTTCGCTGTCTCCTGCGGCGCAAAGTCGAGCCCGGCGCTCCGCTTCTACGAGGCAGACTCTATAGACGTACGTCCCGCAGCTGATGGTGCCACCTATCGCTTATTTTTCCTCTTTGTTCCCCACTGCCTTCTTCTTCTTCCTCTTCTTCTTCTTCTTGTTCTTCCTCGTCTTCGTCGTCGTCGTCGTTGTCTTCCTCTTTCTTTTCCTTCCTCTTCTTCTGCTGCTACCGATGTGTCTGCTGCTAACGCCTCCGTGCCCTTGCTATGTCTCTCGCAGCTGCTGCTTACATTGAAGTGCCTCCTGCTGCTACTGCTGTTGCTACTACTCGGCCTGCCGCTCGTGCTCTTACTGTTCCTGGTGCTGGCGCTGCTGCTGCTACTGATGTGTCGGATGATGACGCTGCTGTTGGTGTTCCCGTGCCTGCTGCTGCTGGCCTCGATATTGCTGTGCTTGCTGCTGTTGCTGATGCGCATGTCGTGCTGGTGCCGTTGATGCTGCAATTGGTGCTGCTATTGTTGTACCTACTGCTGCTGGTGCAGCTGTTACGGGAGTGCGTGCTGCTGTTGGTGCAGCTGCTACGGGAAGGCCTGCTGCTGCTGCTGTTGTTAGTTTGCCGGCTGCCGCCGCTGCTGCTGTTGCTCTTCCTGTTGCGTCCGTGCCTGCTGCTTTCATTGATGTTTCTGCTGCAGCTCTTATCACTTTGCGTGGTGCTGCTGTTGTTGCTATTCTTCCCGCGCCTGCTGTTGTTGGTGCTGCTGTTGCTGCTGATGCTGCTGCTACGCTGCGTTTGTACTTCTGCCGAGCTTCTACTACTGCTACTGGTAATACGCCTGCTACTGCCACTAATACCGCTACTCCTACTACTACTATTCCTACTGCTTCTGCTGTTGATTGTACTACTCGTATATCAATAGTAGTAGTAGTACTATTACTACTATGTGCCTTGGGCTTCGCTGCTTTCCGCTTCAGCTGGTTCCTTTTTTTCCCCCGCGTCTTCTTCTACTTTCTTCCTTTTTGCTTACTCTTGTTGCTGCTGTCGTGGTTGGTATTGTGTGTCGCTGGTGCTCCTATTGCAAGATGCTGTTGCGCTGCTGCTGGTGCCGCTGCAGCTACCGCGGATGGCTGTACTGGCGGTGCTACTGTTGCAGCTGCTGCTGTTGCCACTGCTGCCGCTTCTGTCGTATACATAGCGGACAGGGTATCACCCCCAGCACAGCTGCCGCAGCAGATACTGCTGCTGCTTCTACAGCATTGCTGAAGAGCTGCTGCTGCTCCTGGTTTATCGGCTTCTGCGGCGGCGGCTGCTGCGCTTATAACGGGCGTATAAAGATGTGCTGCTGGTGCGCCGGCTGCTGCTGGTGCCGTTTTACTAGTTACGCTGGTGTATAGGGTGTTTCTGTTGGCGGGGTGCTGCCGCTGTTTTACTACTGCTGCCGCTGCTGTTTTATTGCTACTGATGGTGCTAAGTTGCTGCTGTTCTACTGCTGCTGCTGCTGCTGTTCTGCTCCTTCTGCTGATGTTTATGCTGCCGCTGCTGCTGTTTCTACTACTACTGCTCGTGTTTGTGCTGCTGCTGCTGCTTTCTACTACTGCTGGCGGTGTTCATGCCGCTGCTGCTGTTCTAATATTGCAGCAGCTGTTTATGCTGCTGCTGTTGCTGTTTCTCTGCTGCTGCTGCTGCTGCTGTGCGTTTATAACAGGAGGAGCTTCGCATAGCAGGAGAAGTTTTTTGCGCTGCAGACCAGAACGTAAAAGTTGACGTGCCCAATCGTACTTTGTGGCTCAATAAAATATTTGGATGGTATGATGGAGATTTCGGATCTACTAATCTCAAGGTACAACTCTTCTCTCAGTTGTTTTTTACTTTCACTGACTATAGTCCCGGTTATCGTTTGTCGGGCTGTATGTAGTACTGTGTTCGCCTATGTACATACATACAAATATCTCAACCTGTATATATGTGTATATATGTATATACGCATGTACATATACGTATAAATATATATTCATATGTATGTGTGTAGTTTCCTTTTTGTGTGTTCACATTCATATTAGCTATACCTGTTGTCAGGCTCCGAATGTGCTCTCGATGGTTGTTTCCGCCCGTTTGCCTGTTATTCTTGTCTACACACCTATGCCTGTCCAGTAGGTTTCGTCTCCTGCATGATTTCTTTCTCCTTATTCTCCGTCCCTTGCGTATATATCGCACTCGTGCTGGATAATTACTGGTATATAGTATCATATCTGTACACACATATTCGGTGTAGGCACTGGTTCTTCTTTCTTCTTGTTGTTTTCCGCCTTCCTCCCGTGTCCGCAATAGGAAAAGGAGGAGCAGGTCTCAAAAGTCACATGCCTCGTGTGCCGGCTCGCGTAGTGTGCTTCCGTACGTACATTTGTATATATATATATATATATATATATATATATATATATATATATGTATATATATACATACACACATACATATACATATATATATATATATATATATATGTATATATAGAATGTTGTGTATCGTGTTATATATACATATTCCGTGTAGTTTGTACTGGATTGTTTATCTGCGTTTGTTGTCGCCCGCCTTCTTCGCATGCGCTCTATAGAAGAAGCGGAGATATGGTATCCCAGTTCGTAAACCCCGCGTTTTTCATCCTCTTTTTGGATTTTGCTCAAAAACTTGCTGCTGTCTCTTCTTCATTTTCGGTCTCGTCCGTCTCACTTATCTCTTGGTTTCCCTCTTCTTTTTTTTTCTTCTTTTTCTGCTACTCGTGTTGTTCTTCTCGCGCTTCCTCTATTTGTCGTCGAGATCGTCTTTCATTTCTCCCTTTCCCATCTTTCTCTTTCTTCTCTTCTCTATATATCATCATAAAGATGGGCGTCTCGTATATCTTCCCTTTTCTCTTCGCAGGTTGCCGGCTTCATAGCGACATACCTGCATGGACTGAAGAGAATGAAACTCTTGACATTGATCAATAATGCGAAGGGAAGTACTCTTGCAGGAGGAGGAGAAGGAGGAGGAGGTGGAGCAGCCACAGGAGATATGGAGAGCAGGCAGCACGCGGGAGAATTCAGCATAGGCGATATTATAGCCGAAGAAAGTCTAGAAGAACAAGAACTCATAAATGAAGAGGCGGGCACTACTACTGCTTCAGGTGTCAATGTCCCTTCTGCTGCTGCTGCTTCTTCTTCTTCGTCGTCCTCTTCTTCTTCTTCCCCAGCAGCTGCTACCTCTTGTGGCTCGCAGCTTGCTGCAGCAGGCACTCCTGTTGCTGGACCAGGAGCAGGAACAGGAGGAGTGGGAGGAGCTGCTGCAGCAGCAGCAGGAGGAGGAGGGGGAACAACAGCAGCAACACCAAGTGGAGGAGGGGGTGGCGGGGGCGGTCTTGCCTTTTTGAATCGCCTCCTCAGTCGTAGTAGAACAACAACGACAGCACTTGAAAATAGCCCTTTAAGCCATGCAGCAAGTTTACTAGATCGAGCAGGGAGTAGTATAGGAGGGGTCGTGGGCGGGGGCGCTGGCGGTAGCACCCATCTGAAGATTAAATACTTGGATTTTGATTGGACCTGCTGTGGGTGGAATATTACTCATCGCTATCGAGGAGGATGGATAGGAGATATGGTGGGAAAAGTGCAGGGAACACCCACACGACGGAGCAGAAGCCGCAGCAAAAACACCAGCAGCAGCAGCAACAGGAGGAGGAGTCGGCGGGTGGGGAAGGCATATGCATAGCGGTAGTCGTAGCTATGAGAGCAGCAGTGGTACTAACAGCGGTAGTAGTGACAGCAGCAGCAGTGTGAGAATGAGAGACAAAGAAAAGACAGACACAGAGAATCTGACCATACAGTCTCCCTCGGACGCTCAGAGACAGATGCAGCAGCGCCAGCAGCAACAGCAGACAATAACAACTACAACAACAACGACGAACTCTACTGTTATGGGCAGCTGTACTAATTGTGTTCCTGATGCAGCGGCAGTCTCCTCCTTAAATACAGCCACGTTTTTGCCCCGTCATCCTGGTATTCATGCCACTACTACTAGCCCTCCTCCTGCTGCTAAAACCACTACTACTATTACTAATACAGCAGCAGCAGCGGATGGCGTCTCTGTATCTTCTCTGCATCTTTCTGCAACCCTTCCGGCGCCACGTCCTCCTCTCACAGTCCAGCACAGCGCTGCTGCTGCACCTAGTGGTAGTCCACACACAGTCCCGCAGGCGCCTGCCGCAACATCTGCTGTTTCTGCTCTTTCTTCTTCACGCAAAAAAACTTCTGGTGCTCGCTCAATACTTCGTTTCGCTACAAGGCCTCGACGCCGTGAGAAGTCGGGGGTGCAGCAACAACTTTCGCGTCTAGCGAAAATCAGAAAAAACAGAGCTCCACCATTCCCGCGTATCAAAACAGCGAAGCTACGGAGAAATAGGGACTTCGCTGCTGCCACGAAGAACGGAACTAAAGAACCAGACATGTCTCGTGGGCCTTCTCAAACGAGTCCTGCGTGAACATGTACATGTGTACATATATATATATATATATATATATATATATATGTACGAGCGAACGACCAGGTTTCTTGTTTTTTATATACCTCTGTTTGACGTGAGAAAGAGAGAGGAAGCCGCGTGCGTGACGCAGGTGTGGGTGTGGAGAGCTAAGTACAGCAGTCGGGCTGCTTTCTGGCCAGCAGGAGCGGACGGAAACAGGATTCTCGCTGAATACAGACATGTCTTTAATCAGTAGATTCCGCTGTACGCATATGTGTGCTTACCCGAGGTGGGAGTGGATACGCTGATAAAATTGCAGTGGTCCACACAGGCTCACGGCTGGTATGTTTGTTTTCTGATATAGGACGACTAGCTTACTACTCTACATAGAAATCCCACGAATACCTATATGGTCTCTCTCTTTAAAAGTATGTGCTTTGGAGTTGATAGCTGCTGTCTTTCTTTTTGATCATCCGGCTTTTTACTTACTACTTTACACACTGTAACATCAAGAATACTCAGCTGGTCTCCTTCTGATGACATGCTTTTTCATTGGGGTGCTCGGGTTTCACATGACAGTGTTTCACTTTTTCTACCCACACCGCGATCTCCCAGGCACGAGTTCTACGTGATTTTCGTACACAACAGTATTTATGCGTACTCGGCGAGCCCTACGACTAGCAGTCCAGTAGAGGCTACACAGGGACCGTTTTAGCACCTGCGTTTGCACCCGGGTGACCGCAGGTGGTCCGCTTTTCCTTTTTCCGTATATATATGTACAAGTATATGCATAAATTTATATATATATATATATATGTATATATATATATATATCGTCTCGGACCGTAAAGCGCTTGCGCCAAGACGTGGGGTTGTTTTTCTGGTCAAAATGAGACGTTTGCCTCGGTGTGTCCACAGCTCCAAATGAAAAACACAGTTTCTCTTGGTGTACTCTCGGGTGTATGCCGTGATTGCACATCTACATATACATATATATACGTATATACACACATATATATTTACGCGTGTATATGTATGTGTGCGTAGGGGGACAACTGGGTGCCTAGGCAGCCGAGGAGGTTTATATTTTTTATTTACGTGAAGGAGTTTGCGCGTCGGGGAGTTCGCTGAACGCTTTAGATCCATGATGCACGTACGTCTATAACGGATGGTGTAAATGCAGTTGGGCGCATGTACATGGTCGCACTGTCCGTACACATACCTGAATATGTGCTTGCGTCTATCTTGTTTGTAGATTCGTGTGGCGTAAAGTGGATACGCCATTTATTAGATGGCGAGGAGGAAGTTACAATAAAATCATCTCTATCATTACGCCAAAGGCTACAAACGACCCGACGTGGTGGTGTCACTAGCACTTTGCTTCTCAGTGAGATGCTGTCGCTGACTGCCACGTTCGCGCTGGTATAAGGTGTAGGAGTGTCTCACTGGAGCATGCGGAATTTCTCTTCTTATAAACAGCCTTCTAAGAAGGAGTAAAAATTTGTTCTTTCACGCATATTGGATTTCGTCTCTTAGATATAGCATCCTGACGGGTCAGATATAACTTAAGGCGGACTGCGTCAGTCGATAGCCCGAGTTAGCCGGGGGCCGCGCGCACGCCCATTTTGAGGACCCACACAGCTGCCCCTCGGGCGCGGTACACCACAACTACTGCTACACGAGTGTCTGGATCTGCCGGGATACGAATAATTCTGTACAGATTATATACAGTGGATTGTACGTGCTGTCGGTCCATTACTACTGCTACCAGCGCTGCGACTGATACTACAACTGCTACTACACAAGCAAGTTCAGCGTAGAAGGAGACAGAGAGCGGCAGTGCTGCCATGCTTCGTTCGGCCCTCTTCGTGGCACGCGCAGAGACACGAGTAGGCAACGGCACTAGGAGCTGACACCCTCAAGCCTAATGTTCCGCCTCAATACTAGGAGGAAGGCACAACCGGCGACCACCCACCTGCTCCGTCGGCAGTGGTGGATGTTGCATACGAGTAAGCTACGTCTCTAGGAGGCTAACCGCATAAGGCAGCTGTTCCGCCTCTTTAGCGGGAGCCCTGCCACGGCAACCATGGTCGGCCTATGTGGTTCGTTGGCGGCTGTGGATGTCTTACACGAGTAAGCCACCTCTCCAGGCTGTTACGCGCGTAAGGCAGTTGTTCCCCTATTTGCTAGGAGGAAGGCCACACAACCACTGGCAGTATCCCTACCTGGCTCGTTGGCAGTTGTCGACGTTGCGCTGGAGCCGGCTGCGCCACTAGAGGCTTACGCGCCTAAGGCAGGTGTTCTGCCCCTTTGCTGTGAGGAATTCAATGCGACGAGCAATGTTAGCCCGGTCTGGTTCGTTGGCAGTGGCGGACGTTGCATACGAGTAGCGAGCGTCACTAAGGCTTCCGCGCTTGAGGCAAACATTCCGCCTCGCCACTACCATATATCAATGAGTACACAGCCAAATATTCAGATCCATCTCTTTCTCTCTCTACATATCTGTACGCGTGTAAGCGCATGCATGCCGTTGAATACGACCAGCGGTAGAGATTCACCCGCTTCGCTGGCGTTTCCGGAGCTTGAAAACGCTGTCTCCGCGCGCGACCGTGAAGCTCAGGCCTCGACCAACGTGCGGGTATGGGTGGTGGACCGATCAGAACATACTGCGGAAGTGCGTAAGTCGATTACCGCGGGGATGGCTGCTGACTCCCGTAAGACTTGCCGGTTTAGTAGTAATTCCGGCTTCATAAATTTTTGCCCTCCGCTCATCCCTCGGGCGCGTGCACGCGAGAAGTAAAAAGCAGATATCAGCAACAATACACGCCCTGCCACGTCTACTATGCAGAAGGGGACGAGAACACAGAAAGCAGCGAAGGTGTCTTATTTACTTCTGTACGTATACACATATATATATATGTATACGGACAGAAAGAGACAGGAGGCTGCTTTGACGTCGAACACCTTGACGGCTGCACATGAGTGCAGGGCACAAAGACTCTGCCTATAACAGGCGCCACCCCGACCGTGAGTCTTGCCAGTGTCTGCTGACTTGGGATTGTAAGATGTGTGCGGAAGATGTGGCGAGTAGCTACGTGGGAGGCTGCTGCGGAGGGAAGTTTGACAGACAACGTACGAGCGTCTACGCGATGGTATGTAAGTGCGGCCGGGGACGCCGCGAGAAAAAGTTTTACACCCGACATCCCAGCGTCTCAGCAATAGTATGCAGGCGTGTATCCGCGCGTGCAGCGCTCTTGTGTAGATGCGCACTGGGTCAAGTTTTGAAAGACAAAATACAAGTGCCTGCGCAATGATATGTAGGCGCGTTCGAGGCTACAGCGGAACGGATCTTGAGGCCTAACGTGCCAGCGCCTACGCGATAGTGTGTGGGCGTGTAACTTGTACTTGCACTTTGGTGTAGTAGCGTACTGGAACGAAGTCTGGAAGACAGCACACAACCTTCTGCACGGTGGTATGTAGGGGTGTCTGGGCAGACCGCGGAAGAATACCTCAGAGACGACCTGTAAGCGTGTGCGCGGGGCGGTACGCAGACATGTATGTGCACGAGCAGTGCTTGTGAAGAAACGCGCTAGCTCGCAAGTATTTACAGTGCTGACATACAGTCTTCGGCATCCGCATGTAGGTGCCATGGAAACGGCGTATAGACGACCAAGCACAGAACCATCTGCTGCAATTGTGACGGCAAGCGGACAGCCGTCTGCTGTCACTGATGGCATTCCTGGAGAAGCTGCGAGGCACATCGCGGAGAGTTCCGCCGACTGTAAGTATCTAGGCTTCTCTGAGGGATATATATTACATTCATTATTAGGTAATAATACACGCTCCTACCTCGTGGTATACTTTCGTAAAGTGCTCTGAATACAGGTGCTAAGGGCTTGCGCCCATCTTCGTTCTACGCCACGCTCTTTCGGCTCACCTTCCGACTGCGTATGGATGTAACATGTAGGTATGTGCCGGCTCGAACAGGTGACTTGCTTAGGCGGGAAACTATCAGGTGACGCTGACTTTCAAAGCCCCGTTAATGCTCGGAAAGAGGGCCCTAACTGAATCCTGAATAGCCTCCCCAGCTTCAGCTCACGTGTAGGCGTGGCCCGCTCAGAGACAGATCATTTTAGCGGTAACTCATCAAGCAAGGCAGCTGCGGTGGCGCCCACCACTGCACGTTTTACGAGCACCCTGGTTTTCTGCTAGCGGACTGTAGCGCGAAATCTTCGGAGCAGAGACATACATGGCCAGCTAGTGATGAATCACCCGAGAACATTCCTGTGCAAGCGAGAAGAGGAAAGGTGGCTGATACCGGATTGCTCATCAGAGAAGCCAAACGGCAACCGGCGTCGCGTAGCACGCGCCTATGACAGAAAACCCTGGCCCATCTTTTTGTGGCGAAGAGCACGCTCTATGTTTCGTTTGTTTGGAAGGGGCGGAAGAACTGGGGTTTTTTCGGTGCTGACACCCAAACGTAATTATGGCAATCACTCCGCAGCTTCTACTGTGGTATTTTCTTCGGGACTATGACCTTAACGGTATACTATACACAGTACAATACGAATATGGGCCAGTCTATTCGACTCTCTGTCTATCTCTCTGCCTCTCTATACATTTATACATGTACTGCTGGTTCGTCTTTTCTGCTCCAAAAAACCCGCGCGGTCTTAGCGTATGTACTAATGAAGAGATGAGTATCGGGCTTGTACCCAAAGGTGTGGATGAAGAAACCCATCTATCTAGCTCTCTAGCTATCAGTCTATATCTGTACCCTGCTGTACATATAATAGATGCACGCTTTTGGCGCGTGAAGGCAGAGGCGACTCCGCAGCTAGATAATGCGTGGCAACTCTCTTTGGAGCGTGTACCTCTCTGTATGAGAGTAGCCGTAAACTAGCTTGCGGCGTCCCCCCTGGCATGTAGGATTATGCCTGCACATGAACTTGTGTGCAGAGAGGCGCTGTTGACACACAACCGCGGCATTCGAACTCCGCGGTCGGTTCCTGTTCATTCTGTCAGGGCTGTACTGGAGCTGCCGCGTAGCTGAGAGTAACGCATAATCTACGTGTATGTGAGGTGCAGCAGCAGGGAAGCTAGAAGAAGGTACAGAACATTCGACGTGTACGTGGGATGCAGCAGCGGGAGGAAAGGGACGATATTTCACGTGTATGCGGGGTGCAGCAGCAGGAGGAAAAAAAGGAACTACAAAATCCCCGCAGGCCGCGAGGCCGCGGGAGGGTCGCGCGTTCGCTTACAACTTCTCTGTCCTCTGCTGATGGTGTACGTGGCGCGAACGGGTGCTACCGGAGCTCTCGACGCACGCTCATCAAAACCTGACAAGCGAGAACTACGCGCCGGCAACGATGATAGATATATATAGAAATCTGTATCTTTTTTTGTCGCTCCAACCGCTAACATCGTCTCACAAGCGACACCACTGTCCGGGCCACGTCGTTTCCACCGTGCGCTTGGGCTTCTGCGCGGCAAACGCGTACAGCATCAATTGTGCGCTCCATATGTGCCTTTGTGTATGTATATATGTATGTACGTACGTAGGTACCTCTGTGTGCCTTATATATGTAGTACGCCTGTATGCATATGCGTATGTATGCACGCCAGGGCAAGCTGGTGGGGAGCCGCTACTACCTATAAGAAAGGTCTACGAGAGGCCCGAGGTCCTGGAGCGCGTGGGCGGCGATTATCCCACTCGGCGTACGCAACAAAACGGGGGTGTCCCGTCTGAGGCTCACACGTTCCCGAGAGCTGCGTTGTTTGCCCTTTTTCTGGAAGTGGCCTACAAGAGGACCTTCGGATATGATCCTGACGTAGGCTCGGCTTAGCATTGCTGCTGCGAGAGCTCTGGTGGGCAAGCAATAGACTTGCACAATTCTCCAGGCAGACGGCGATGACCGTGGCGTGCGGCCACTGCGGCGTAGCTATGTACGTAAATACTTGCACACGTAGATTTCTGAATATATATATATATATATACATATATGATATATTTGTGCTCGTTGCTGACGCCCTACTTCCGGCCTGGCAGGGTTAGTGAACCTGACAGGGTTAGTGAGCCCGCCCGCAGAGCTCGTCTCGCCTCCGTTTCCGGCACTAACGCGAAATATGTCTCCAGTCACATATCAGCTTACTGGCGCTCCGCGTTGTAGAGTCCAAGCGGCGGATGTGCGTGACGTTGCTGCAGAAACGGAGCCAGGCGTCTTGGCCCCCCATTCTTCTCGAAATTACCGATCTAAGTTCCCCTCGGCGAGCAAGTCTTCGCTCGCACAACCATGCGAGTATTTTCTTTCCGCCGCGGTAGTGCAGTGCAGAAGCATTAGCACGGACAACCCCCATTAGCAGGCTGCAATTTGTACCCGCTACAGTGTGAATGGATTACTTGCCACTATTTAGTACTTCCCCCGTGTGCACGCCGTAGGGTTGTACAAGCTCGATACTTAGCCGTATTCCACCAATAATGGTAATCAATGACCAGCTACCGCGACGCAGGTATACATGCATATGCACCTGATCCACGGGAGCGAACAATCAACGGAGCGGTGTGTGGGCCTGTCATGTGTGTACGCTTGAGCAGTTTATGTTCCTGCCCACCCACTACGCATTCGAATCCGCCTCTTTCGTCAATCCGCCGTAGAGTTACGCGGTGCTGGGATGTATGTATGTCGCTGTTTCCAAGCTTGCCTGCTCCATGACTTTGACACGGAAGCCCACTTGTGTAAGCCAGAGGGGGCCCGCTGCTACGCTGTCCTGGCAATCTCACCCCCACCAGGACGACCAAGACCGTCCCCGATTTTCGCGCGATTCTTCTCTGGCGAGTACTCTCACACTGCAGAGACTGGTCCTAAGCTGCAAGCCAGCTGTAATGTGGCTTCACAAAAAGGTTTGACAGCAGACGAGCATTGAAACAAACACAGACCTCTCGTGCTTTCAGTAAGAAAGTGCTGGAACAGAGCAGAGCGTTCGCTTTTTATAACATCACCGCGAGAAGTGCGACGCACTACAATCAGGACGCTGCCCCTTTGGCTCCGTCGCGTTCGTAGGCAGGGTATCTCTCAAGGCGTACGTCGCCCTGCAGTCTATTTGTGTGGCTCAGTAGGTGTGCACGTCTGAAGCAACTACGAACAGCGACCCTGGACTATTCTGCACACGAGGACACCTCTTTCCTGTACGATTGTAAATGCATTACAGCTTAGACTCTGTCAACCCGCAGCAGCCCCCACAATGGGGCCCTCGGTAGCATGCAGGCGAGACGCGGCCGCTAATGAGGCGTCGAGGGGGAAGGAAGAGTAGAGGGAGTCCGGAAAAAGCAATTCTAATTATCGGAAAAGTAGCCGCTGGCAGACGATGTCGGAGCAGCTGCGCAGAGCGCATGCGCGCACACATACGCTTGTATATATGCACGTGTTTATGTATGCGGGTAGGTACGTACGTAAGTACGTTATATATGCATGCACGCATGCGTCTACGTATGTATATGTGCCTGTCTACCCGTCATGCGCACGCGAAATTTGTGACAGAAGAAGGAGTATCGGCTTCTCCGGGACGATCGCAGAGGCTTCAGGCAATCGCAGGGAAAAGATAAGGTGCCCTCATTGGTAGATGAGGCACTGCGGTTAGGCCCGGTAAGGACAGTGTCAGCCTTGGACCAGTATACATCGCATGTTTCTGTGGGGTGATCTGGTGGAAACCACTCAAAGACCTTCTTCATGTACATATTGTGCAAATAACACAGTTTAGAATGGTGCGCTTGCTTTCCATTTGCCAGCACACGGCCGGTTGGCTGCAGCGTAATACAGCAACTCCACTCTAGACTTGTTTCTTCTTCTCCGCTCATTCTCTTTTCGCGTACACGTTCCCTGTTCTCAGAGTCGTCTCCGCTAGATGCCGGAACGCCTATATGCGCAGCTTGCAGTTCGCGCGCCAGAGCTAAGGCGTGCGCATGCAGTCTGCAATTAATCTGTACGTTCTTGGAGACAGTCTGCATTTAAGCGCGCTGAAAACAAGCGTCGGAGGCCTGCGTGCCCAAAAAGGTCTTTATGACGTCTCGGCTGTTGTAGCGTCTTGCCCGGCAAAGAGTTTGCCTGTACAAGCGAGCCTCCTACCGCACGTACGCCTAAGTCCGCATAAAGTGCTCCAGGGCTGAGTGTGTCTGCACTTCCACCTAACAGTCATGATCAGGCGGAATGACCGGGACGCTGCTGTGTGAGGGTCGCGGCGTCTGTGTGTCTGAATTCTCTCGCAAACTTCTCCACATGTACACGCTACACTCGACGTGCTGACACGTGTAGCTGTCTGTGGTCGCTCCGGCAGCTTCCACGGATACGTGTATGAGTGTCCGCTGTGAGTTGTCCACGTGTAAGGCAAAGCACTGCGTGTCCCGGAGGTCCCGCCCAGGCGGCACCCCCTTCTTCCTATGGAAGAAAACATGCTGGCACGCTAAAGGGACGCTTTAGCGATAGGCCATCGAGAATGACCCGAGAATAGAATGAGACACGCATCCCACTCGAGTGCCCTTTTTGAATAGCGCCTGCATACGCTAATCTGCAACATGGAGTCAACGACGTACGAGACCGCCAAAGACGAGGGGGTACCGCCTCCCCCCTTTGCGGCGGATTCAACGCCCGCCACTGGCGAACCAGAGGAGATCGCCGAGAGATCAGAAGAGACAGGCTTTAGCGGTGCAGATACGACGAATACGGCGGCGCAACAAAGCGGGAGCGAAGCACCGCCGGAGGGACCATGTGAGGCTGAACCCATGCGGAGTGCTGCGGCTTTTCCTTGAAAAGAGTATCGGCGGGCCACAGTAGAGCACACAGAGATGTCAAGCTTATGAATTAGCGCGCGAGGTTGAATGTGGGGCAGCGTATGTGAACTAGTAATGGCGTATGCTGCGGAATTGTTTATTGTGGTGCAGCAAGAGAAAACGGACTGGCGGAGAACTCCCAAGCAGGAAACAGAATCGGCTCTGACAGTGCTTTGTAAGCAAGATGTTTCTTTCATGGCAGCATACTGCCAAAGGACCTCACCCATAACCCTTGCTAATTCCCGCAGGAGCAGCAAACGGACCATATCCAGCTCTACTTGCGAGGAAGAGTGCGCCGTTCACGTGAATTCACATGAGGATGTCGCTGATACGCGCCAGCACACACACATCCCACGTGTGGGGCTCGGGAAAATCCGACAGAGACATACTCTTCCGTAGCTTCGACAAAAACAACGTCCACTCGGTCAAGAGCAGCCGTCAGACACGCTGCACCTGCCGAAGCCGCAAATCGCATTCGCCACTACCAGGCGCTCTACTCTGATAGCGTACGGGTCACTCTCACGCTGTAGACCGCACTCTGGCGCCCGCTGGGTGGTAGGCAAGAGCTTGTTCATAACGTTGCCGCTAGCAACAAAAGTTAAACTCTAAGCGTCCACTGCGCGAGTCTGGGAAAGACGTACGCAGTTACTTGATCTCATCAACTCGGGATATTCGTGCCTGTAACCACGAGGCGTCCTGCTGTATCGTCTTCAATAAAGCAGCTGAGTGCATGAAGCTCGCGGTGTGCAACGACAGTGCTTGAACACCAGTCTGCAGTTCCGACTCTTCTACCAGCACGTGTCGCACGCACTTCGCTAGAATCCTGCGGTCATGCTGGTACAGCTGCGCATCCGGCCCTTCACAGGCGTTTGGCATGGCGCTACACTGCCAGACAATTAGAGAAGCCAGCCATGTTCAAGCCGGCACGCTGATTTTGGTCCTTGCACATTCCACACACGTCGTGGGCGGCCAGCGCCTCGTACTAGCAGAGCCTTGAGGTTTCTGCGGGTGGCCGCTTTCCGCTGCGCATACGGGGCCGCACCGCGCAAGCGCACTAGCGCATCTCCGGGGTTGATCCGATCTTCTGACACGTTTAGGTGGTTAAGGGCTGACACGGGGAGGATTTAGCCCCTTGTGGACGCGGTTTGCCGAATCAAACATCTTTTTGGGCTGTGCCGGAAGACGACTCCTCACGAACTGAGTAATTAAGAAGCCCTCAGGGTGTCTGCACGATGAAAACCTGCTGAGTCACTTTGCCCGTTTAATAGACTCGTCCACCGTTCAAAGAGACGAGAGCGTTTGGCCAAAGGTCTTTCTTTTGACTCTCCTCGCACAGACTACCGGAGCATGATGACTCTCTCCAGACGTCAACGCTGAAACGGAGCTCGATAGAATGTGCCCAGCTCCCAGCAGCGGATACCTCCCCACTAGAGGCATCGGAGGCAAAGGCAGCACCACCGCCCGACCTCGCGGAGTCAGCCGGCGAAGCATCCTCTAGAGAAGCAACAGATATGCTCTCAGCCCGTTCCACAGGTTCCGACGCAGGAGCATTAGCTCAGCCGCCGGCAACGCCACCAGAGGCGGTGGATCGGTCACGGCGTAGCATTTACGGCGACGGAACTCCGTTCAGAAGTCCAAGAGTAGGCTCAATGAATACGCCCATAAGTATTTTATAAAAGGGCTTTCCACGCTGCCAAGTGTGGTCAGATACTTTCCTCCATCCACACTTACGGCTGCCTATGCGCACGCGCAGGTAACTCGAAAGACGCCTGGCTGCTCCGTTCAAGCAGCCAGCAGTTGAGGGTTCACGCACTGAACGAGCTGCCTTCTGCTGCCTGTCTTTGACACAATGGTCTGAATGTAGTCGAGTAGGCGGCACGCCCTGCGTGCAGCTACGCAAAGCATAAGCATGCACGGGTACATATGCACTTCATGCGTCCTGCGGCACCTACTATGCTGGAGAAGGAGGCCTGTCAACATGTCACAAAAAGATCTAGTGGATGTCGCACAGGGCGGTGCTCTTTCGAAAAAGGCCTGTCAACATGTCACGAAAAGACTTACCAGATGTCGTGCAGGACGACGCCCTTACCGTGGGCTGCCTATGAACGACTAGCCTTCGGCCCCTGTCGGCTCAGCCAAACACCTGATGCCGTGCCGCGGCGCAGACATTCAGCGGACTATTTTAGAATACATTCAGGAGTACTGTACGTACATGTCAGCGTGCGTACCGTGCACGTCTCCGTCCCGCTGTCTCTGTCGCCACGAGCTTGTGGCACAACAGCCAGATACCCGGCCTGTACAACTTCTTCGTCTGGATCGTGAATACACCGTCTGCTGCTGCGCTGCTATGGAGCGAAGGCTTGCGGCGTCCTGCGGCTGCTTCTGAGAACTGCTCCAGCGCTATAAGGGGGGTGCGCCGCCGGAGCCCCGCCGTTGGAGTAGTTCGGTGTCACTGGTCTTCATGTAGCTCTGGCGCCGCAACGTCCGAAGGCTAGCCCGCCGCTTACACGTCAGGAAGCCTGGAAAATCTGTGCCCCTACCCCGTATCACCGGTGCCAGGTATCCGGGGAATGGTGTCACCTACGAGAGTCCCTTACGATAGCATGACTACTGGTTTCTATGTATACTCATACTTCCTTACTCAGGGGTTGCTGCTGGGCTCCGATCTCTGCCGGGCTTTGCGGATGCCACGCGCCGTCACACTGACGATGGTTGTTTCCTGTGGCGCGAGTCTTGAGTGTAGGCCTTTTCTACATCAGTGGATGCCAGTTTCAAGAGGAATACACCACGCCCTAGCGAAATTTCCAGGCTTCTTGCATCTACCAGTTGCACACGCAGCAACGGCAGCAGCATTCAAGCAAGAAAGGGAGAAAGCATGTCCAGCGGCGGCGAAATGTGTAATCTGCCGCCTTTCCGGCTCTCCAGTAGAGTAGCTCGGAGAAGCACAGCGAATCCGGAAGCCACTGCAAATTTAGCGGAGGAAACGCCGGAGACTTCGACAGTAATCAAGACAATGGAAGCCGTGCGGCAGCTACACAGTAATATCATCCAAGGGCTGTCAACGCTCCAGCAAACGACTGAGAAGCTCATCGAGGGTATGTCAATATAGCGGGCGGTACAGCCCTCCTTTGTGCCACCATACAGTTAGATATCGACGTGCACACTAGCGCACCTGAGTGGGCGTCGTCACACGTGTGAAACATAAAGCCCGCGTGGGAATCTGCGCGTTCCAGGCAGCCGTACACGACACAGCAGGTGCGCCGAGCCCAGCGTGGTCACCTAGTAGAGCTGAGGCTTACTGTGAGAGGTATGTCCACGTCTAGCTATTCGATCTCGCCCACCTCGTGCTCGGATCTTCGACAGCAATCACACGTGTGCGACATACGTGGTGATAATCTTCCTGACGCCCCTAGCCGAGTCGGGCGTGCTGTGCGCTGAGGAGCGCAGACTTCTGCAAATGAGCAGAGGGGGGCAACTGCAATCCCGCAGCGGCGCACTTCTATACTCAGGGGGCAGCGGAATCATAGCGGTGATGTTGTAGGGGAGGCGGCGGAGGGTGAGCAGACGCACATTTTACGCGGTAGACGGACAACGTGTAACTATGAACAGAGGCGTGGGAGCACACATAGCCAAACCCGAAGCGGGCAGTCGCCAATGTATACGTGTACGGCTGCTTCAGTTTGGTGATTACGTTACACGCAGCATCTCCGTGCTCTTCACAAAGCCTGACAGCACTCCGTCTCTTACACGATACGTTTACTGCCTCTGAACGGCATAGCGGGTGATTTCCGTGCGTGTCCAAGCTCGAGTGTGAGAGCGACGGGATTTGCCTGTCGCGCGTGCATACCTGTACCCAGCCGTCGCGAACGAATCCAACCAAAAGGGCAGACAAGGAGAGTCCGTACATGCGCAGGCAGGTTAACACTTCTATTCAGAGTGAGACTGGCACCACTGAGTACGAGTGCACCTACGGGTCGCAGCATTACAGCTATCTCCATATACTGCGCACAAACGGTTCGGCAACGAGGAGCATGGCGCACTGGCTGCATGTGCCTGACATACCTCAAATATATACACATGTATATATATATATATATATATATACGCATACATACATACGTATACCTCGAAAGCAGAGGAACTGCAGCATCTTTCAGCGTGCGTGCAGCGGCCGCCGTGTGGAAAGGCATGTGTGTTTGAAAAGGCGCGCCCGGGGCGTCCTTTGTGCTTGTGCTTGTCTACAGAGCAGGAAGAGCAGTACTGCAGGCAGTTCCGCGCTCAGTAAGATAACCGCACCGAAGAAGCTGTCCATTAAACGAATACACCAGCAGGCGAGGAGAGGCGGGGTTCACCGCAGAACTACTTCACTGCAACATCCCAAATAAGTTGCAGTTCGTTGGTACCCCCTGGCTTTCAGTGCCGTGGGCACGGTAGGGTGCGACTAAGAGGTGGCTTCACCTGTAGGCCGCTACCTCACCTCTTGCGGCTGTGCGTGGGATTTCCCCGGAGGCTTACCTTCGTGCTTGCAGGCGTGAAGTGGCGTGCGCAGAGACTCGGCCCACGTCCACTTTCATGAGCACGTGGCAAAGACTACCACTGGGTAAATTGGCAGCAGCTGGCGGCGTAATCGGACGGCAACATTTGCTCCTAGTAACTCTTTTCCTGCAATGCCACAGTAGAAGTATACGCAGCACGGACCCCAGGATGCCGTGCATGTTTGTATACTACTCGAGTATATACTATATGTGCTTTGTATGCTACTCGAGTATATACTATATGTGCGTATACCGATGCAGCTGCAAGCGTATCAGCGCGTCTGCGTGAAGACGTGTGTGTATGTGCTCCTCAGAAATGTAGCCCGAGGAAGGGCCCATCTGAAAGCACACACGCAAACCGAAAGAAGTTCCCCGGTCACGGGCTTCGTCTTAGGTACACTGTGCCGCAAATGCCAGCACCTACTGAGGCGCTCAGCCTTCGGAACCACTCAACGAAAAGCCGAGAGCTGCGCTCGTCCTGCACGAGTGAAGGGGCGTTACTGTCAGTGATACAAACGTGTCTAGACTTGTCGTCGAAATGTGCAGTCAACGGGCTTGCTTCGTGTCGGCCTTTCACCTTCCAGCCTACAGGAAGTGCTCGAGGAGTCAGCGCGAGCGACGCAGGTGAGTAGAAACTGCACGACGACTGGACAGGCATGGAGGCCTTCTACTCATGTGGCTGTACGTATTCCACCATCTAGGCAACCGGCGAACCGACTGCCACTACTCGGAATACAGCGCGGAAGCCCACTACCTGCGTGTACACTAACCTATACACATACATATATGTCGCTCATATATATTCATGTACTGGTGCTGCCTTCACAGACACGTGGCGTGGTTCAACTATGCAGCCCAGTTACGCCTCCCCTTGTGAGTGGTGCATAGCTTGCCGGTGCCCTCTTACCTTAAAGACCATCACTAGTGGTTCTGCACCCGAGGGGCAAACGCCGAAAGACTCGTGTGCCAGGTATCACGGCGAGCCTACGCGAATGATAACGATGCTCATTCCTCCTTCGCGAGCAGTTCGCACCTTTACTGTTTCGCAACACGAGTACACGAGCGCGCCTGGTCAGACAGAAGACACTAAGGCGTATAGAGCATTGTGAACAAGCTTTGATTCATCGCTGATGCGTGGCTGCTCGGCGCTTAAATCTGGCGTGCAAAACTGAGGGAAGCGTACGGGTCTGGCACATGACGCTGCCGGCCAGTCTAGTGTCAAGCGTTTCCCACCTCCGCCTTGCTGTAGCACGTTTAACATGTCTCTTCGTGCACTACATCTGCATGGAGAGATACGGAGGACACAACGTTCAACTACCAGCCGGGTTTCCGCGTACTTCCATCTGTACGAAAGGTATCGTAGTCGACAACAGAGAACAAGAGTCGCCTGCAAGAACCGCAGCGCCGGAAAATCTGTGCACTGAGCAGAGTCCTTCCCCGCTTTTGTACACACCGGCTCACGCGCACGCTTCCTAACGTCAGGTGTATCCTCACCATGATTCCGCAAAATACAGGCAATCGCGGAGTAAGTTGAAAGGGTCAGATATACGTACACTTTGTGAGATTCGTAATTCTCTTTGGAGTCGGGAGTTCACTGTCCGTCCAGCGGTCACCAAGCTCGTAGGGAGCGCATGATCGTGTGCTATTAGGTTCAGCAGGTAATTCGCGTTGGCACCCTATGTGGTTACTCAGTGAGACATCCTCATTACTGGTATTCCGTCTTTGCATTGTAGACTTTACCAGACCTTTTTATCGCCTGTTCCTCTGTGGCCCCTACCCTTGCGCGACTGCGTTCCACGTTATTGCAGCTTGCTGTAGGTTGTTTGTATGATCCCGTTGTTCACAGCAGCAGAAGCCGCCTATTGAGGTCTCCAGGTTGCACCAGATACTTATCCGAGAGGTGCAAAGCGCTCAAGAAATTGCGAAGGATTTGGAGGAGCAGAACAAACGTCTGGTAAGCTTGCGAAAACAGGAGCTTCTTGGAAGAGACTCGCGTGCACGCAGCAGACCGCCTTTCGCGCAAAGTGAACATGAAGCCTATGCTAAGCACACGAGCGGCGCACATATAGACAGATATACATTTCGTGCGAAGGCTGCGAGGACAGTAGATTGGCTCACTCTACGCTGCCTGCTCTCTGCGGGTAGGACACATTTGAATGCTCCGGGCCCACGGTGGGCAACCTTCACAAGCGGTTTTTTTATAGACACCCGAAACACAAGAGTTAAGGTGCCCCTGGCGGCGATGCGCCGTTGGGCATTAGTAAAAGAGTCAGGAGAACGCCTGCTCAGCAGGCAGGCGGGGGGCAAAGTGGGTAGACTAACAGACTTTTTAAAATAGAAGCGCACTATACAGGCTGGCCATGCAGGTCGTGCGTCATCAGCACTGCCCTCTGTAGCTGGTCCGTTCTGCCCCTAATCAGTAACTTTCCTGCGAAGAGCAATGCTGTGGCACATAGTGAGAGCGAGAAAGCTTGGCATAGAAACACCAACGGACGTCTACAGAGTGTTCAAGTGCAAGAGCAGTACCCTTGCAGGCACGAGAAAGAAGCGGAAACAATGCCAGAGCTGTGGGACGGGGTTCACTTCAAGCAGGCATACACATTCTTTATTACGTACAGTCACGCACCTGCGAACGTTGAACATCATTCTATGTGGTGAACAGTCACGCCACCCGAACCTTGTTCTCTGCAATAGATCGTCATTCAACGTGTGCACGCGAGCTCATTCCGCATGTAGAGGCACGGATGAAGACGACGCCTGGAGAAAATTGCCCCCCCTCATTTCTCGAGCGTATCACCAGAGGGGATACCCCCCTATACAGTGTAAGTCCACTGCATTTTGTTTGTAGATACATACACATGCACGGGATACTACGTGACACATGCGTACAAGGAAGAGCAGTCGATACTGCGACACGTGTACGGATGACTGCTCCCACACCAGTGCCCACGCGCCCGCAAGCGGGGCGTCCACGTCTTTCAATACAAACGAGTCATTCTAACGTCTGGTGGAGGCAGGTGCATTCTTCCTGGTAACTCAACAAGAAAGACACCCTAGCTGAAGCGCCCCGCCGGGAAATATTTCTCGTCTGATCGGTGATCAGGTGTAACGATGTGGAAGGAAACAGCGACTTTGTCTCCTGTCACTCTGCAGCCTTGGTTATACCCTTATTGCGATGCATGCGGCGCTAGACTGAAGGTGTGAGACTCCTGCGCAGCAAAGCGAGAACAAGAACTTGAAGCTGAGACTTGAGTGTGAAAGAGAACAGGGCAAGCTGCTAGCCAAAGAACTCGTTGTAACGAAGAAAAAACTTGATGCTGAGAAAACTGCTGGTGAGCTCAAAACCTAAACGAGGAGGCTAGTCAGGCCGCGTACAAAAGAGTGCCATCACACGTCGGCCTCGCACGCCCAGCGGCGCGTATGCTAGAGTGCATTCCGCGTCGGCAACAGACAGGCAGCCCTCCGGACTTCCTTCAGGTGTCGTAGAATCCTCGTCGTACCGGCAAGTCCACCTCTTCGAGTCCAGCTGGACACTTCAACAGGGTCTTGCACTTTTTCACCCGTCTAGAAGAGGCCCTGCGAGTAGGATGCACTCTCGAAGCTTACGCGGTCCCAGCCTGTGTAGCGAACTGCACGCTGAACAAATGCGCACGCATCACGCGACTCACATCCCTGGTACATCTAAGGCCGTGTCTGCCACATCAGCGCGTGGAGCGACGAGAGAAGTTTGAGTGTGTCGCTCTCTGCAGCATCTGAAAGTGAGGCACCTGCCTTGCAGAACATCTCTTCAGGTAGCAGTGTACTGGCATGTCCATACATACATCTCTACGCACTGCCCGCATATATGTATATGTATCTGTCTAGAGCATCATGGCGCGCACAGAGTGCCGCACCTTGTTGCAACGGCGCTGCGCCCCACCCGCGTGGGTGTCCGTCTCGAAGGAAGAAGAAAAGGTATTTGAAATTCCACGCCGTGTGGTGTCGATTCTAGTTCATCCAAGGCACGCACTACCGCTTTGATACTATGTTGAGTGGCGCCTTCTTCTCCTGACGTCGCCACCCGAAGCGAGTAACGGCCGTTGCCAGTCGACGCAGGCGCAACCGGACGCTCGGGCATCTGGTAGAAGAGGCATCTAGTGTGTAGCAGTTAGTGCAGGCTCAGTCTCCCGAGCTACCTATATACGAAAATAGTGGAGGCAGCTGTGGGGTAAAGTTCGTCTCTGACCCCGCGCTGCCGCCTACTCAGTACGTTACGTCTGAAGCAGCGAACATGTACGCATGGAGATACCGCGTTCTCGCCGTAGAAACACTAGAGATCAGTGGAGGCGGAGTAGGTGCCTTCTGCATGCTACCGCAGCCTCTGCATTTGTTAAACAATAGAGTACGCCTGCGTGGGAGACTCATGCTTTCCGACCCAGGTGCTGACCAGGTCCTCAGCCGACATACAAATGATCACCATACATGTGCATCTGTGTGTAGTATACTTACGCCTGCTCTTCCTCTTCGATGCTGTCTTGCAGCCTATCAATTGCAGGAAAAGCTGGGCGCTCTCCAACGCCAGCACGAGCGGAAGGGCGCAGGTGAGGACCGCGACAGCTTGGGCAGAGAAGCAGCATCCTCCTGCCACGTCTACGCGCTAGTACCGTGTCAGGTTGTCTCGCTCTGCTTCCTGACGCGTCTCCCTTGTGGGGGAACACACGGTAACAAATACGCAGATCTCTCCAAGATGCTCGTGTTGTTGGTCTCTCTTTCGCCCGCACGGGTACGTGCGCAGTCATTTTGCACCGCATGGTACCCTGCATAGCTGACGTGCGCAGTGCTCGCTTCTGCTTGAGGCTGCCTGACGTAAAGCGCGCGGACGACGCCATCCGCAGGCTGTTCGAAAGTTGCGCACAGTTCCACTTCGCCTTGCTTACAACAGGCACTGCACGGGATAGCGTGTTCGTGCGGCACGGCTTACGAAGGCACCCGCCTATGAAGCGCAGCATGCGTGCACTCCCGTTCCCCGAGTTCTCGGTCCCCCACCTAAATCTTCAGCCGCACCTACGTTTCTTTGCTGTACATGAGTGCCATGGAAGACCACTCTTCTCACACACAGGTGTATGCTGGCGCCTCACTACGCGCGCCTTGGTAACCTGAAACTCAGAGAATACGTGACCGGGGTTTTCGTGATATGCTTGCAGGCCATAGCCTAAATACTTCGCTGCGGGGATGATACACTCTGCGGGTGTGGCGCTCCTATGCGGCTCCGTTTCCGCCTGTCTGCCTGTCTTTCCCTCTGTCTCCCTCTCTCTCCCTACCTGTGAGCAGTCACGCTGGCATGCGTTCGTCTTGCGACATGTACAGGCATTCGGGGCTTGAAATATGTGGTCTGACAGCCCCTGGCGTACTCTATCTCTAGCAAAGAATTTTACTGGTGCGTAGCTCTGTCGCCACGGAAAATTCTTTCGTCGGTGTGGCTGTACTTTACTGTTTCAGTGATGTTAGGCCTGCCTGATGTGGAGACAGCGGCGAGCGACAGTGAGTCCTCGCTTCCGTCGACGGAGAGACACCGGAACAAGATTTTCGGTGAGCGAAAATGTGCTTCGTGCTTCTTGAGGTTGGCCCATACCGTACCTGTCGCGTATCGTTCACGGGCCACCAGCACTTGATTCCAGAAAAGCGTCAAGCTGCCTCAGAGACGGATACAGGACGTTGACTTAATCGCACATTTGACACACGAGTCGCCTTGTATGTGCGCGCCGCACAGGTAGCAGGTACGAGTTTATATGCTAAGGTGACGCGCTCGCTCGACACGTGATGCCGGTCCGATTTGTTTGCCGGTCACAAAACCTGCTAAAAGGATATGCTGACCGGGTACTACTTCGCTGGTACCTGAAGGACTAGCAGCGCTTTCGAGCAAGCTGCATGCAAGAGATTATAGTGGTGCACAGGGGACGGGACGCTGGGGCTATGAATACGTGCATTACGGACGCACTAGCAGCAGAGAGCTCTACATAGTGTCTCGACATCGTTGATTTAGGTCGTAGAGGTCACAAGAGTCTCTTATTAAATCCAATCCCACAAAGAACCTTTGTAAAGCCCCCATGGCTGAACAGCAGGAGATTGGGAAAGCTTCACATACATCTGTGGAGTTTACTCGAAGTGCAGAGGTGGCGTCTAGGACGCCTTCCGATATGTAGTCTGAGGCACGGTGGACGGCGAACGTGAAAGAGCCTCCGAGCACTCGTAGCCTCAAGGTAGCGTATTTTGCTTTGCACACCCCCATGGAAAAGACTCTGTCTCTACCTAGAAGACGGCTGTTCAGCCCCCGAATACTGATAGCTTCACGGTAGCGTCTCTTGCTTTGACACACCCCCAGGAGAGAAACTCTGTCTCTACCTAGAGGGACGGGCTGTTCTTCGTGGTTAACAGGCAGTCTCATGCAACGGTCCTTGTTGCACACTCCTTTGATGCTATGGGTTGTGGAAGTGCACGTGACCGTACCAGAGCAGCGGTGTTCTGGATCTACACTAAGTGGCCAATATGCGCGCTTAGCAGTCGAGCACGCACTAGTAGGGCCTGTAGGCGCGCTGCTTACTAACTGGGTACTACGGTCACTAGCAAGACTTATGGGCGCATCGCTTCAGGGTTCTGGTTCGCGGATAGCGACCGACGTGTTTACAGTCGTCACATATGCGTGTGGACCTAGCGGTGCGTCGCGCAACGACCACACTGCGACATTTGGGAGTGTCTCGCAGAGCGTGAGATCAAGCTTCGCGAGGAGAACCAGCGCCTCCAGCGCCTGGCCACAATTCAGAAGAAAGAGCTGCACCAGCTAAGAGAGACTCTTAGCAAAGCGGGAGCTATCCGAAATGAAATTGCAGCTTTTCTTCATGAAGCGTAAGCAGGCCTTTAAACTTCCTTGTAAAACGTCTCTAGGCTACGTCCCGTGTGCGCCACTCTGTCACATGTGTGAACTCGCTACAGTGTCGCCGACACACACGAGGGCTGTACAGGAAATGCCCGGGCCACCCCAGTTCCACCCTCCTACAGCTGTCCACAGCAGACGCATCGGATGCAGGAAACCCCCGTGATTAGCAGAGATGCTTTGACGCTGTAGCACCAGATAGAGATCGAACCACGCTGGACCGACGTCAAACTTGCGGTGTGCCACGCAATCGTGTACACACCTACAGAGAACGCGTGTCGCGTTCCGCGCGCTTCCTACACGAGCGGACACATCTGTCTGCATGCCATTGATTGTTGCACTCGCATAGAGACAAAGGAAATGAACGGTCGTCCGACGTACACCGGCGGTGCCACCATAGCCGTTGTGGAGGATTCAGGGAGAGCGTGCGCCCCTCGCCCTCCCCTCGCACGCGATCCCGTATTTGAACGTACTACCATCGCAGTGACCCACTTAAACCACCACTCAGTATCCGGGTTGTGGTGCGGGCGCCTATGCTACACGAGCTTCAGCGGTCGAACCACGTAACCCGGCAGGCTGACACGCACAGACCTCTGCATCAGCATACAGCGATCTGGTGGACGCGCACGTGGGAAAGCTCTCCTGGGGTGCATACACAGTTGCAAGTACTGGTAGGGCTCACAACAAAGTTTGCGTCTGTCCGCTCAGGTTGGAGGGGGTCGAAACAAGAGCGATGCACAGCGCCGTGGGCAGGGTGCACACGAGTGTACACGTTTACGTGTGTACACACTGCTTTTCCTATTGGACCGAGTACAGGGACCCCATCAGCAGTTGACGTTGGTACACTGTTTTTGCTGTCTTTTTCGGGTCGTGCCACGTGTGCGCTGACAACGTGCTATCTGTACACTCAGCTGCGGCAGGTGCCGTCTGCTTTGTCACAGTCGCGGCAGCTGCCAGAGGTAACACTGAACATAATATGTTTTGTTTGTGTGCTGCGGACGTGCCGCGGACATTAGGATGAACGACGTCGCAGCCAAAGTGGCCGGATGCAGGAAGATGTCGGTACGTCGACAGCGCCAGAAGCAGCGACTAGGCTGGTTGTAGAACATCTAAGCTTGTGCACGCACTTGTGATTCTTATTCACACAGCCGCTTTATTCAAAGCGAAAGCTGCAGCGCTAGGGGAGGGCACCAGGGACGTTTGCAGCGAGATCCGCCATGTATATATTGGTGTGCATATGCGTACGTATGCGGACAGTGATGTAGCTAGACTTAGCTCCTTGTTGATAGGGGGGTGGCGCTAACCATGCACACACGATGCGTGTGTGCGTGTGCACGGGGGAGCACACAAAGTACGCTGACGTCTAGCTGACTGTGTACCGCCGCTTCAGAAACTCACCAGGTAACCGAAATCACCGGGTCTTGCAGTGTAGGCTGACGTGTCACATCGGCGTTTGTCAAATCGCTATAGAGAGACACTGACGGACTGACACATTCATATCTACGTAGAGACGCGTACACTTTGGCGCGTGCCTGGGCTCGACTGCTTGAGAGCGTCACAGTACTTTAAGAGGGGGTAAACACCGCGTAATAGGGTAACGCCGCTTGGGCAGAGGCAGCCTCGGGCAATGCAGTCAGCATTGTACACACAGGCTGCACCGTTGCTATATCTCTCTGCCTGTAACGAACGCGGCCCCTGCACAGAGCGACTAGCCGTCAGAGGCGACTCGTATAGAGAATATCTCTAAGATAGAACCACCTGGCCTTCCGCGCCAGTGGCCGCACGCAGTCTTCAGAGACAGTGTTCTGTATTCGAGTGTACGTGTATACGCGCTCCTATGCACGGTCACAGGTGCGAGTATTTCGCCCAGATCTGCGTATACTTATTAGTGTGTATGTAGGCAAACTTCTGCCCACGTATTCCGTCAACGTGACTACTAATTTCGGCACGTACCATCAGTCCTCCGCTCTTGATGATGCTCCTCTGTGAATACAGTGGGATGCGTTGTCAAGCAGGCATTTGGAGCAGAGTGGCGACCGCGGCTGCTCCACGTTTATTTCCGCAAGCTGCGCATATCGTTGTCCACAACAAGTCGCAGAAGAAACACAAGTACAGAGGCGACTTCGTCTATCGGCGACCCGCTGACGTCGCTGGCCCTTAGCCAGGATGTCCTGCTTCTCTTTGTGTACCTAGCACGGTATTAGGTGGCTCCTGTAGCTATACCTATTGTGCACACCACGTTGCCGCCTGAACATGTGCTTATGGCGGCGGATTGAAAAGGGAGCTACTGCGAGGCCGATCTTCTCCAGCACTCGTACATGTCACAAGCGATCAGAGATAAGCTGATTTGAAAGCGCCGTAAAAATTCGTGCACTTGTTTGTAACAGCTTCCAGTGATCAGCAACGTGTAGCATCTGGGCCGGGAGCATGTAGGGTAAATCCTTAACGTACCTGTCAGCATGCGAGGGCGGCTCAAGCGCTTCGCAAGCCCTGAATGGCCAGGCGCAAAGTTTTTTGAGCACTGCCTTCGGTAGAGTAGAAGGCACAGGATGCGCATACATATATACGTATGTACAACGAGGTCAGCTCGACTGTACATGCCTCGCGGATACGGGGTGCGCGCCTATGACACTCTCAGGCGTCAAAGTTCTCCTTCAGTGCAATCAATCCCGGAGACAGCCGAAGCGAAATGACAACCGCCGACCGAGAGCAGGTTCTTGAGAAATTCCTTGGACAAGAAAGGTAAATCAGCAGTACGTCTCTGAAGCCCAGAGTCCTGTGCGCCCACTCGTGCAACGCGCGCCAGCCGCTCCACCACGCAGATTAGGCATAGGATGGACGACAAGAGGACCTGATACTGTACAACCTAGTGGATATGCGCAGACACATGATAGAAAACCGAGATGGTCGCCGGCAAGGGGGAGCAGCAACCTTGACAGAGGGTCTAGCAGAAGTAACCCCTCTCTCACATTGGTGAGCGGAAGTCTGTACCACGGTACTAGTGTAGTAAGACCCTTAGCTAAGTATACTTGCAAAGACGCCTGTTCACCAACTACCATCCGTAAGCAGGGAAGCTGTACGCGAATCTGGTGAAATGAGAAAGCAGTGCTACCGACTGATGCGGGCACGCAGTTCAGTATTGCGAAGCAAAGTTACAAGCGCCTGGAACGGGCGTCGAGAGAGCCTTGCGAAATAAGATCGGCGACGAAGTAGCCGGGCCAACGGCGAGGCGGCTCGGCTGTTGCCGATTGGCACACTTGGCTGCAGCTACTGATGTTATGTGCTGCTCTACATGGTCATAAGAAACAGAACAAACCGTTCTACGTCTGAGAACGTATGTGCATGCCTATGATAAATACTGTCCATGATTGTCGAAACGGTCACACCCGCTCGAAGTATCCTCAGCGGCGCGTCGCACTTGTACAGACGCTAGCTCAGGCAGGACTGCTCTGTGCAATGCCTACCGAGCAGATGAAGGTAATGTACTTCCGGTAGACGGTGCAGCGAATGATTTCCATCATGAGGATTAGTATGCAGGCTGTCTCTTGCACCACCGCTTCACGAGGGTGCGGACACGGAAAGCAGGAAGAGGCTCGCACTTATTGCACTGCGCAATATAGCGCACTGCGAAGGTCGTAGTGACTAACTCAATGCGTGCGAGATTCCAAAGTATCTATACGATGTCGGCAGGAGAACACAAGGACGCACAAACGAAGCTATGCGAGTACGCGCGTGTGCGTGTCGTTTTGCTTCCTCGTACGCAGTACCACTGGGCTTCTATAAAGGAAAGAGCTGGTTCTACAATTTTTCAGTGGCATAGACGGCTGTACACGCGTAGGTGACTCCACACCATGTATGTACTCGGTACAGTATGATACGCCTGCACACCATAAGGTGGCGGGGAAACAGAGAAGAGGTCTGCCAGCTGCCTGGCGTGCCCGCCTCCCAGTACCTTCCGCGGTTGAGTACGAATTACTCGTTCCTTCTATCAATGATGTCAAGGACATAGCAACAAAACGGAGACGGTTTTCGCTTTGACGCATTGTATAGTACCGATACTGACCCGCGTATCCGGTGGGGCACAGAAGAAAGGCGTGCGCTCCGGTAGCGAAGCGCCGGTCTCCTCTGTGCTTCCAGTAGGCGTCACTGTCCGTGTCTCACACCAATCCACTACTCTGCCGTTCGGCGCCCATAGACCTTCAGAAACAGCTGAATGACTGTTCTGCGCTAGTAGCTTACGTGAGAGGGCAGTCCCCTCTGGTGTGTATGCGTTGAGATGTACAGCTCCACACCCTTGCACAAAGTCCCGCGGAGGTCGAATGGGGTCTGTTACGCCGCGTTTCTGCACCAGAAGGACGTATACATAGGATATAGAAATATGCACGGCTGCTCCTACACATTTGTAGTCTATCAGAGAGTACCTCTGTGCTGGAGCTCCCAGCTTGGTGTTGTAAGCATTTCTCTAGAGCGCGTTGCCTTGCCTGCGATGGAGACAGAGGAGACTTCTGCATCGGTCTGCTTGTGTGCCGATTGTATCTGCATTCCGAGAGGCTGCAATCGCAGTTCGTTACCCTAGCTGTGTATATGCGGGGTCGCAGAGAAGATGAAGCATGGCGCCTGAGGATGTGTTGCTTTGCGGGTTTTTAGGGTCATCAAACTCCTAAACGAATTGATGGGGCCTCCTCCAAAGAAGGACAAGTTCAGTGGGTTCGGGAGTAACGCAGAGAAGGACGTTTTGCTGCGCCAGCGGCAGGGGAGTCAAATCAACTTTGACGAGGTGCTCAGGATCTAGACGCTATTGTGCAGGAGCCAGACACGGTGCGGGGCAGGACTCCTTAGTACACTGTTGAGATCATTGTACAGGCAGACAGAACCAATGGGTTCGGAGTTGGTGTAGACGTTCTGCTGCGTCAGCGACGAGAGGGCAGTCAGACCGGGTTTTATGAGGCGCTGAAAATCTAGAATGCACTTTGCTGCAGCCATACAACCAGACGCGTAAAACTTCTAGTCGGGCTGGTAAGGCCTTTCTCACGGGCAGACAGCTTCAGGGGGTTTGGAGTTAGCGCAGAGAAGGACCTTCTGCTGCGTCAGCGACGAGAGGGAGATCAAACTGATCTTGATGAGGTGCTTCGGACTCCAAGTGCACTTTTCAGCAGCCGTGCATGCTGAGGCTGAGGCGCGCTTCTCACGGTGTTCCACGAGGTAATACGCGTTCGTGCATAGAGGATTATCTGTATACGACTGCAGACACGAGCTCGGGTACTGGGCCCAGAGCACGTGCTCAGGATTCGAAAAGCACGGTGCAGCAGCCATACATGCAGAGGCGGAGGCGTGCTCTGATTGATGTTTCACAGGACGATACGCCTACGCACATACTCAACTGCTTGCATACGGTTGCAGACTTGCGCTCGTACCACACAGCTACAAAACCAACTGACGTCCAGCCTGCACGGGTACTCCGAGCGTATACGTGTACTCTCAGCGATCTATTCTGTTTTTCCTGCCTGCTCATGTCCGCTGGTACCGCAGTGTTCATGCGCCTGTTTCCTACGAGTGATCAAGCCGGGAGGCAGGTGGAAGAGGTTTACGCGGGTACATGCATGACAGAAGAACGTGATGTGTGTATACCTTAAATAGACCAGTAGAGGACTGGCTAGCAAGATATAAGTTGGCGCCCGTATGTGGGAAATAAGAGGGAACGAGCACAGAACACGGATTACATTCTTTGGCGCGGCGAGGAAAGCGAACTCCCTGTGGAGAATCTCTCAGAGGGTACAAAACCTGCTATCTGACCGCTCGTTTGTCGCGCAGGTCGCTGTGTAGGGTTTCAAATTGTGTCATATGTGATGATGTTGCAAAACTACTGCAGACTCCAGTCTTGGTGGGTGTACTCACGTATGCAGTCTTGCGTACACGCACTCAAGCTCATGATTACGGACGTCAGGCGCAGAAGCCCAGATGCATAAAAGCACCCGGAAATTCAGGCACGGGTTTCTAAGCAGACACCAGCATCCGGGGAAGTCATGTACAGACAGATTTTTTCTAGTAAAGAGGCGACACCCCCTAGAAGCAGGCACACATATATACGTGCACAAACACGTTTACTCACGCATAGGCGCGAACATGCACTTTCGCAAGCCTGGACCCAGGCATGTAGATGCGAATAAACCTGCAGACAGAAAACAGACATCCATGCACGCACGCATACACACGTACATATGTGCACCCGCACTAGGTAGAGAAACCATACACCAGCACGTACACCCATAAATGCACGAATGCGTAGCTACAACTGTGGACAGCTACACAAGTGCAAGATTCCAGTTATGCGCACCATAGACGCAAGCAAGGGCATATAATCTTGCACGCTACGGTACATGTGCGCTAACCACCGTTCAAGACACTGGTGCATGAGCATACAAGGACGCGCCACCGACTGCGGAGTATATCGGCGCACAAACCGTGAGTCTCGCCTGAGCTGTTTCGTGTGCGAAGAGCGCAAAAGAGGAACTAGACCCTCGTCGCGAGTCAATCGCGTCATCGAACCAGAACGAGCTTCCTTAGGCTTTCCGTTACCAAGGCGGACAGCCGGGATCAACAGGGTCCGAGGCACGGATGCGAACAGCCTCCGGTGCCTTCATGCGGACATGTGTACTTTTAAGTGTCTCTTCACATATGTATAGCTGGTCGTCCGCGGTCGCGGACAGAAAGTGCAGGAGGGACCGCGGCGATCCACGGTCGAGCATTGTCGGAGCATCCTTTCAATTAGCATCCTCAGCGACCACACCTAGTTAGACCTGACATAGACCTTTGCTAGACTTACGGTACACCTGTATATGCCCTTTTGGGTATATCTGGAAGGGTGCAGCTGCATTTGCGGCGAACTAGGTGGATTACGCGCCAGTGGTAAAGACGGTGCTCTGACTCCCGATTCCGAACCCTCTGTGAGCTATGGAGACGCTCAACTACAGCTGCTAACAGAGCACGTAGAGTCATGCTACTTCAGCGGTCTGCGACCGCCATGGACATCGGATCTGTCAAGAGCGCGATATCGCACTCCAGCACTATGTGTGCTGTACCCCTAAGCAGAAGCAAACGAGCTAACGTCGGAGAGCCTACACAAACCCGCTATGACACACGCACACGTACACACACCACACACACGCACACGCACATACAGTATAGTCCTTGCCTTTGTAACATGGGTGGTCTCAGCGGAGACTGTCTCATGGCGTTTCGTCATCGACATACAGAGTCACGCATACATACTTGGTCACGCCTACAGCATCCTCAACAGTTGTGCAGAATTCTTTTTACCTCTTATACATGTCAGCAACGTTTGCCCCATATACACACGTGTTAAGACAGCAATACTCTCTTTGCAAATGACGGCCCTTGCTTGGTGAAGCTACCTCCCGGCAAGCCACACCTTTCGCTTCCCTCTCTTCTCGAGTCTGTCTAGTCTGCACCCATACACCTCCGCCAGGGACTCTGGAATTTATGTAGATTCATCCAGAGAGAGGAGTCGACCGCAAGGCTGCTTTCACAGCGATTTACTGCGCCAGAGCATGCTTCTTCTGTGTCTCCTTCACACAAATGAAGTTCTGTAGCTGTTCCATCGAGCATTCGAAATCTTCGAGACGGCGTGCAGTCTGCTGCTGCTCTGGCCTAACGACCAATCATTCGCATTTTCCTTGCTGCTCCTCTCTGATCTGTGCGGCCTGCAGCTTAAACAAATTCACGTTATTCTCCTGGAATAAACGTATATTCTACCAGACGTAGAGAAGGACCACAAAAACGCTCTGAAAACTATCCATTGCGCAGGTGCATTCCGTTTTGCGTCTGTTGCACGAAAATAAAGTCCTACAACTATTTCATCGAGTGTTCGCTTTTCGGTACTGGGTGCAGTGTTTCGGCTGACGCTCGTGCCTATAAGCGTTCATGTTCTATGATCACGCTGCGGCTCTCCTGCGCACACCGACTAACTTGACTGCAGGTAGGGACCGTGACTGAGTTGGAGAGATTCGGAGGCCTGTCCGACTTTTCGGTGATTTTCTCTTTGCGACACTTCTGCGTTGTATAAGTCGTAGTAGAGCAGTAGAGAGCGACACATCTGCCGATGCGGGTGTTACCCTCGAGCAAGAGCTCATTCATCCTGATCTTAGATCTGTGCCTGGTCCTCAGTGACAATTCTGCAATGTAAAATTTGTCGTAGAGAGCAGAGAGGAACACCTCTGCGTATGTGGACGTCGCCGTCGAATGGTGGCTCAGTCATTCTGACTTTACTGCTGCGAAGGGGCCGCCGTGACACTTCTGCAATGTATGAGTCGTCTCAGAGCAAGGGAGAATGGTATTTCTGCCTCAGTGTAAGTTGCAGCAGACCCACGGTTCAGTCGTGCGTATCTTATCCCTGCGACTACGTCCTCATTGACACGCCTGCAGTGTCCGAGCTGTCGTTGAGCAGGGGAGGATGAGCATGACACTTCACCACCGTGTGAGACAACCTTGAGCAAAAGAAAAGATATACTTCTGCCTGCGTGTACACTGCCGTAGAGCACGCGCCCATTCCTCCCGGTCTTATTCTTGCGACTATGTCGTCCACGACACGTGTGCGCTGTGCGAGCTGCCGCTGAGCAGGAGACGATCACCGTGACACTTCTGCAGGGTGTGAGGTGTCTGGAGCAAGTACACTCCAGCACTGCGGACATGTCCGTAAAGCAGTAGCTCAGGGGTCGGGGTCTTACCCCTGCCACGGTGTCACTCTACAAATGTGGCGCCTGGCACTTCTGCAGTGTGTGACCTGTCAGAGAGCGAGAGCGAATGGAACTTTTGCTATGTGCAAGTTGTCGGAAGAGCGGGAGGGGATGACTTCGGCGCCCCGGCAGTATGCGAGATGGCGTAGAGCAGCAGACAGTGGGACTTGTGCAAAGTAGACGCCGCCGTGGAGCAGGTAGTAGGTCGTCCGCCTCATACAACACTATGTCGTGCACGAGTGTAGCCTGCTAGGCCGACTACAGCGGTATTGCTCTGATTCAGGTGTTCAGTAAAAACACGTGTACATCTATCTACATCTTTCTGTATCTATGTAGCTGCATACAAAAGATGCTCAGACGCTCACGCGCGCTGCACCAGTTCCCAGCAACCGAGGGTAGACGAACATACATACATACAGCCGTTTTCAGGTAGCAAATGGGCACCCTTGGATAGATGAACGTGTCTCCGCAGCCGTGTGTAGCTTTGTTTGCTCATCTGTTGGATTCGCTCTGTAGATGTATATACCTGGGCGCACACCTAAAGACTCATGCGGCCTCCCTCTCTTCAGGTCTCCCGTTGCAGTAAATCTCCGGTCTTCCAGCGAAGACTGGGCTGTTCGTCAGAGGCACGCGCGGCGATACCAACATCGAATTCACGTATTCGCTCACATATTCACGAACGGAAAGCGTCTTCCGCGGTAACATGGAAACTATCAAAAGAACATTACTACTCACATTCCCACGCTCACATGAGGACCGGACGTGTTCACATCGCCACGTGCATATTCACGGAGTAGAACAGTCCTCCACGCTAACAAGAAAACAGATTCACATCTCTGCCGTAGTTTTCACGAGGTAAAACCGTCTTCCACACTCGCTCTCTTCTCCGTCCAGAGAAGTCCTGCGAAAGTTTCCCACTGATAGACACACGGTGCTCTGCACAGAGACACCCGGATTCATCCTCTGCATGTACCTGCCTTTTGATCTTTCCTCTCTTCTATTCCACCTGAGTGCGTGTTTCTCCACCGCCGGACGACGCAGGCGGGAATCCTTTGCGCACGAAGGTACACGCAACTTATCCCAGCACACCTCTAGCACCACACTCCCCTGTCTACATAGGGACAGACACGTACACGTGTCCTCACATCACATATAGATGTGTGGACCACACGAGCGTGGAATTCTGCGCATAAATAAACACGCGGCTGATCTTTGCACATTTTCGCCCCCGTCTTCCCGCGGACACACAGGAGCAGACAAACACACGGGTACACACACCACATATATGTGTGACTTCCGTCACGCGCGCAACTGCAGACCGGGGCTTCACGGCGCGAGTTGGACACACGCAGCAACTGACGCCGCCGCTAGACATATACAGTTTCCAGAACTCGCCATCCACTTTTATAGATGAGAACGAACACCGGCTGTGAGTATCTGACATATTCAGCTTATTGTTTCTCGAAGGTGATCATGCGTTGAGGCGAGCACTGTATCTTTTACTGGACTTAGGCCGCCGCTACATACGTACGTGTGTTCTCATAGCTCCACCCCACATTCCCGTGGATACGTGAAGAGCAGTTGTCTGTAAGTACACACTATCGCCATTGGCTTTCATGAATGACAATGGCGAGCTAGGTTAGCACCATTTCTTTCATCGGAATATTCATCAAGCGACCAGGAGGGAGAATCTGAGTCTGCGTTGAGAAATTTTCCCATGGTGCGTAAGACGTGTGGAATAAAGGCAGCAGCACCATGATGCGCTCCCTCCACGAAGACGCAGTGTGCCGCAGGCGCAGCGACACGCAGGAAATCACGTATCGGAGCAGCTGGAGCAATTATATCTTTTCCTCCTAGAATGACCATCAGCTGCCGCTGCAAATCAAGGAGACAGCCCCTGTCCAGGTATTCATGACCCTGGAACTGACGTGACGTAGTGATACGTGTACCTACTTCTCTGTATGCAACAAGCCAGTAAAAGAGCAGAGCAAAGCGGTCACAGAGGCTGTTTATAGTCTCGCGCATCCGCTTCAATGCTGGGTAATGTCGTCCATTAATAGCCGCAGCATCTGCAGCAGGCAGTGTGTGGCTGGCAGCTTGTGGAGGAGAGACAGGAGCAAGGGACGCAGCACCAGCAGCATCATCGGCTAGGGAAGCAGTACCGCCAGGCCCGCTCGCCACGTGCGCAGGCGACTGTGACGAACTAGCGGAAGCAGCAGGAGCGGCCGCAGCAGGAGCGGCCGCAGCAGCAGCACCACCGACTACTGTACTAGCAGCAACGGGCCGGCTGGCCGCGTCATAGGCTGGTGGCTGTGAAGAAGCAGCCGGGGACTGGCAGCAATGGTAGCCACCGGGCGTGAGGGCGACATACGCTGAGACGCAGCACGAGAGACATGAATAGCAGCAAGAGCTGGTATGCATACAGCAAGAGAGGCTGCTATGACGGCTGCAGAAGTAGCCGCAGGAACCTTTGCTGTCATCGCTGCGAGGGCCGCAACACCTACAGCAGCAGCACCTACAAGTACTGTGGCAACAGTCAGGTGGCTTCCTCTACTCCTGTGATTTGTGAAACTACTGGGAACCAGATAATGTGAGACGGTTGCACGTGGTACCTCCTGTAACATTCTAGACAACACCGTGCACGTACACCGTAAAGCGGCTTCTGCGGAAGACGATGTTGTTGCACCTCCCCGAGACGGCTGTGCTCGTAGGTCTGCTTTGTGTTGTACGACAGCCGCTGTTGGAGCAGAAGCAGGTATTACTGTTGTACTACCTCTTAACAGGTTGACGCTATCTGCGGATGTTGCTGCTGCCGCTACTCCACGGTATTGCGCTGCAGCCGCCAGTGCACGCGCTTCTGCTGCTGCAACTGCTGATGCCTGCATACACCCCGGCAAATGAGCGGCGTTCTGCTCGCCGCACATTCTACTATCTTTCGTCTCCTTTTCTTGTGAGTACATACGCAGTTCTCCTGGTCCGCTTCTAGAAGCAGCAGCTGTACCACCTGCAGCACCCCGCGCTCTTCTCGGGACACATAATGGAGCAGCAGCAGCAGCACCAGGAGCAGCAGGAGTAGTAACGGCAGCTGGCTCTGCTGCACCCACAGCGCTTCTGTGAAACTGCTGAGAAGCACACATAAACGCACAACTTGGTAAGGAAGCCTTTTCTCTTCTCGTGTTAGGCGGTAGCTGTACTTCTGTACTACCTCCTTCCTGCTCCCCTTCTATTTCGGCTGCAGAGACACGCCTTTCCTCCTCCGATTCTGCTGCTCCGGCTTCTCCTGCTACTTTACTATCTTCTACTCCCTCTGCTTGAATAGCTTCATATATCGGCGTTCCTACAGAGGTGACTGCTGCTCTTCTTTCCGCTCGCGGCCTGCATGAGTATCTGTTGCTGCTGTTGCACCGTCTGCACCTCTTGGTGTCGCCTGCCGCCGCTGCTGCTGCTGCTGTGCTGCTTTGATTTCTGTACTTCTCCTCCGCTCTACGATGTTCCCGTCTTTCTTCCTCTGTCGCGATCCCGCATGTGCTGCCGCTGCTACTCTGCCCTTCTGTAGGAGTCCACTTTTCTGTTTCTTTTCTTGCCCTTTTTCGTCCTTTTTTGACTCTTCAGCTATGGCCTTTTCTTTGTTTTTCCAGTGTCCACTGCGGGTTTCTGCGCCAGCAGCAGCTGCCTGTTGCTGCTGCAGCAGGGAGAGATGGCGCAGCTGGTATCGAGGTGTAATTCTCCATGGAAGCCGGTGTACTAGCATCGCCTTTGCTGTGCAGTTGGGAAAGAAGCAGACGGATCTATTAATACACATCTTTTTATTATATGCGGGTAGTTCATACATAAACAGGAAGCTACTGCAGTTCCGTACGAATGTGCAATAAAGATACCTGCTGCTCGCTGTTGATGGCCACGCTGTTGCTGCTGCTGCTGCTGCCTTTGCTTCTGAGTCGCTTCCTCATTCTCCTCGTTTTTCTCTTGCCCTGCCTTCGAAACTTGAAACTCCTCACTACTAGTACCGTTGCTACCACCCCCACCCATATTCCAGCGTTGCCGCTGCTGCAAGTGCTTTCCACTCTCGCTCTCACCCACATTCGTTCTTTGCCTGCAGTCCTCCTCCTTCTCTTGACTGGTATTCTCTATTATGCTTTTCCTTCCTTTTCCGTGTCCGGTTCTTCCTCTGCTGCTTGCTGTTCCTTTTGCAGAATGACATCCCTACATACTCCCTTGTCTCTTCCTCTTTCTTCTAGTACAGTCATGATGCATTCCTGCTTCTCCCCTGTCCGCCACATTTCCTCCCGCTGCTGCAGCTGCCCATGAGGTCTATCCTCTTCTTTTGTCGCCTCCTCTTCATTCGTCCCCCGTTGTGTATCCTGTGCGCCTACCGCTGCTTCTCCTGTCTCTGCTGCTGCTTCTATCTCTGCTGCAGTTTGCTTGCGGCATACATCTTCAAGAAGGAAGGCAATGCTACGGCATACAGCAGGCATTACAGGCACAACGTCCGTCCATAGTAGAGAAGAAGGAATGTCTGCAGAAGAAAAGAATGGAATGCTTTCACTTGCGCACCCGTTGCTACAGATAGTACTGGTGTTGCCGCTGCTAATGCACCTGCTGTTACAGCAACTGCCCACACGCATCTTGTTGCTGTTTCCCCCCCATTTCTGCTGCTGCTGCTGCTGCACTTGCTACCGGTGCTGCTGCTGCTGGTCTTGGTGGGGCTGCTCGTCGTGGCGGCGTCGCTGCTGCTGCGGTGCGTGTTCTGTTCCTGCTGGCTGCTACTGTCAAGAGAGCAGGCGCAAGGACGGCTGGAGCCGCCTGCACGAACCAACGTGCCCCTACTCCCGCTGTTGCTGCTGCTAGTGAAGCTTCCTCCGTGGTGCTACGCTCCGCTAGAGCCTCCTTACGGAAGCTGCAAACACTACATGTATGAAGGGACTGCTGTTGGCGGTGACGCCGCTGCTGCTGCCGTTGCTGCCGTCGCCGCTGCTGGTCCTCTTGGGATAGATCACCGGTCGGCCCAGCTGCATATATTGAAGGGAGATGAAGCATAGATGCACAGGCAGCTGCAACACCGCTGCCCCATGCAGCAGCAGATGAAAGCAAAAGATATACGCCTCTCAGTAAATGCAGCGTATACGGTCGTGCTGCTGCCCGACCCGCTGCTCTTGCTGCCCCCCCTCCTGCTGCTGTCGCTGCTGCCTCCTTGCTGCAGTCGTTGCTGTTCCTCCTGCTGCTGTTGTTGCTACCCTTTCTGCTGCTGTCGTCGCCGCTCCGCATGCTATTGCTGCTGTTGTTGCCCCTGTTGGCGTTGCTGCTGCTGTTGCAGCATACAAATCTGTTTTTCGCGAGCGGCTGCTAAAAGTTTTTCCTAGTCTCTTCTGACACAGAGAAGAAATAACTGATTTCATACTTGCTGCTAGGCCAGTACCGTAGGAGAGCACAAGGAGAACAGAGAGGACACGGCGGAAAAGGAGAGGGAAGAGGAGGAGAAAGAGGAGGAAACAGGAGCAGAGGAGTAAGAAGAGCAGCAGCCGCAGCAGCAGCACGGCGGACTAGTGATATCTCCAGCTGTAATCTCCGCAGACGGATCCAGACCCTGAGGGGAGAGGCCACAGGAGCACCAGCAGCAGTTGCTGCTGCTACGAAAGCCGCAGCAGGTGCGTCTCCCGTTAGGCGCAGCAGCAGGTGCTGCTGGTGCCGGTGTTGCTACTGCTGCGTCCGTCGCAGATATTTGTTTTGGTGGTAATTCTCTAGGCTGCAAATGCCCCCTGCGCATAAGCGTGGATGAATTACCTTTGCGTCCTGCTGGCTCTGCTGCTGCTGCGGTTGCTTCTGCTGCTGTTGCGGCAGCTGCTCCTGGTGCTGTTGGTCCCGTGGCTGGTGTTGCCGCGGGTGACTGCGCTGCTCAGCTTGCTGTTGTTTTTGCTGCTGCATACGTAACTCTGCTGCTGCTTGTTGCACGTGCATTCCCTGCCCGTCGAGTCCCAGCCACCCAACTCTACAAGAACTATTGGCCGCTGCTGCTGCGGTTGTCTTCTTCTCTCTGTTCTCACCAGCAGCAGCACATGCAGAACGTAGGGCAGCAACCCCATACCAAATCCGTGTAGCAATACCAAGGGTGCCGCCGCTACCAGTGGCTCCTGCTGCTGCTGTTGTTGCCGGTTATGTGGATATCTGCCGTCCCGGCGTTGCTGGCGCTGTTGCTGCTGTGCCTGTTGCTGCTGTTCCCACCTGTCATTCCGTTGCGGCTGCTCCAAAGCTGTCTCCGCTCTTTCACGTTTTGCCTGTCTCCACCAAGATGTAACCGCTTCTATTGCTGCTGCTACACAGGTTCGCCTCCCCTCTGTGCATTTGCTACTTTCTCGCTGCTTTGCATGTGGCGGCATCAGTACATAGAAATTCAAATATTTTAATCCACCCTCTAATTGTCTGCTCCTGCAGCAGCAGCAGCAACAGCCATGCTCCGCTACGCACTCCCCCCGACATACATTTCTGGTTACGTACTTCCCGCACTCTTCTGCTGCTGTTCTTCCTGCCGTTAACGCTGTCTCTGCCTGACTACCGCCTATCTTTGCATCGCTGTTGCTGCGGCTGCTGTTGCTGCGGCCGCTGTTGCTGGGGCTGCTGTCGCTGCGACTGCTGTCGCTGCGACTACTGTGGCTGCGGCAGCTGTTGCTGGCGCTTCTGTCGCGGCGGCTGTCGTTGCTGTTGTTGCTACTTCTTCTGTCCTGGGCCGTGGTTTTCGTATCGGCGGTGTTGCTAGTACAGCTTATGATATACTTCTTGCTCTTCCTGTTATTGTTGTTTGACTTGCTACCCCAACGGCTGCGGCAGCAGCTTCGTCTCTCAGCAAAACAACAGCCGGCGCCTGTGCTGCTGCTGCAGAAACGACAGCAGCAACGGGGCCGTACTTGCTTCATTCCAATCCACTGCAGCAGCAACATACGAACGAGTAGGTGCACGAATTCTACAATCCACTGCAGCAGCAGCGGCCGATAATGAGGCCTTGTCGGGGCTGCTCCATATTTCCATGCGCCTACTTCTTTCTGCAGTTCCACCTCCATCTCTTCCTTTCCCTCCGGCTGCTGTTGCTGCTTCCGGCACGCCTGCTTTCGCTTTACACGTAGCGTCTGCTTCTGTAGCGCTTGCTGCTGCTCTTCTTCCTTCAGCGCGTGCTCCTGCGTGATCTGCGGCCGGCGGTCATGCACGTGTTCCTGCTGCTGAAGCTCCCCTGCTGCTGCTGTTGCTTCCACTGCTGCGCCTGCTGCTTCTGGTGCTCCTGCTGCTGCGCCGTCTTCCATGACGTCTTTAGCATATGGCGCTGCGTTCGCAGCTCGCGCTGGTGCAGCAGCTCTCGTTGCTCCTTCTTCCCTTGTTTTCTTTGAAGCTCCGACAATATAGAGTGCTGCTGCTCTTGCAGCTCGTCGGGGTAAGGCTCCGTCTGCCGCTGCTGCCGTTGTAGCTGCAGGTGCTGCTGCTGCTGTAGCTGCGGATGCTGCTGCTGTGTCCGCTGCGTTTCCAGGTGCATCCCGTTATCTCGAGACAACTGGAACTCCATTGCTGTCGATCTTCGTGGGATTGCAGTCGCGTCTGCCGTTTCGGTTGGTGCTGCGCTCGCTCCTCCTCGCCCTCCTCCTTCTCGTTCTCCTTCTGCTGCTGCAGTTCTTTGTACAAGTGCTCTGCTTCTTGATGCGCACTCCTCATTGAAAAACCAGAAGCGAACCGATTGCGCTGCCCGCTAAGTCTGCCTTACTTACACTACATACGTTGCCTCTGCTTTCTGCGAGCGGTTGCCGTGGAGCCTCTTCCGAGAGCAGCAGCCACACGTTGCTGTCGCCGCACTTGTCCCCATATCTGCTGCCGCTGCTACTACTGTAGGTGCTGCTGTCGGTACTCCTGCTGCAGTCGAGTAACCCTTTCTCACGGCTAGTGCTGCTCCATAGAGAGTTGCTTCTGCTGCTGGAGGTGCTCCTGGTGACGATGCTGGTGGGTAATCGTCTAGGTTTTGTTCCGACGTCGCTGCTACTGCTGGTGCTGCTGCTACTGCTGGTGCTGTCGCTACTGCTGGCGCTGCCGGTACCGCTGCTGGTGCTGCCTGTACCGCTGGTGCTGCTGATGCTGCTGCTGCCACTGCTGCGGCTGCTATTTTCGGTTCTGCTGCTCCTTATATGATGGCTAAGGAAGCGCCTCTTGGTACTGTACAAGTGTCCTCTGCTGCCATCTCTTCTATTCTTCCTCGCTTCCCCTCCACGCCCGCTGCTGCCGTAGCGGAGCGGGATGCTGCTGCTGGAGCCAAGGCGGGTGACGCTGCTGCTGGTGCTGCCGCAGGTACGAAGGGTAATGCTGCAGCTGCTGGGACAGGTGGTGCTGCTGCTGCTGCTGCTTCGGTCTGCGTTAGTGCGTATATATGTGCTGACATCTCCACTGCTGCTGCTGCTTCCAGCGTGACGTAGGGTACTCTCTATAAAAAATCTGGTTACGCAATGGGCAACCGGTAGCTGTCGCTGCTGCTGCTGCTGCTGCTCCCAGTCCTGCTGACTGCGTTTGCAATTCGGCAGTTACTGTTGGAGGTTTTGACAATGCTCCTGCAGGCCTTCTCACACTCACTGACCCTGCTGCCACTGCAGGTGCTGCTGCTGCTGCTAGCGGAAGGCTTCCCGCTGCAGCTCTTTCTGTAGCGACTGCGGCAGTTGTCTCCACCTGCGTGCCTGCTGCTGCTGTCGTAGCTGCTGCCGCTGTTGCTGCTGCCGCTGTTGCTGCTGCCGGTGTTGCTGCTGCCGGTGTTGCTGCTGCCGGTGTTGCTGCTGCCGCCTTTGCTGCTGCTGCTGCTGTTGCTGCTGCTGTTGCTGCTGCTGTTGCTGCAGAGGTATCCTGCTCCTGGGCTGCTGTATAGGGAGATTGACTGGTTCCTGCGCCCGCTGCAGTTTTTACAGCAGTGCCGTACTCTGCTGCTGCAGCGTGCATGTCTCTATCTGCTGCGGGCACACCCATACAAAGAAGCAGAAGCCGAGCAAACAACAGGGTACATTTGTGTATACGTATATGTATACATACGTATACGTGTGCAGGTACGTGTCTACAGATAGATAGACATATACGTATATATATGTATGCTGAGTACATGCGTAGAGCCGCGGCCTGCTGCCCGCCGTCTAAACAATGAGAACGGCCGCAGCAGTAGCAGCACGTAGCATGCAGAGAATGGAATAGTGCAGCAGCACATCACCAGAAGCACCGCTAGCAGCACCAGCAGCCCACCACGAACAGCAACAGCGTTACGCCCACCACAGCGGCAGCAGCAGCAGGGGTACAAGGAAAACAGCGATAGCATCATAGCAGCACGAGCAGCACATCATCTGCAGCACCGGCACTAGAAAAAGAGCATCAGTCTATAGCAGCCACAGCGAAAACGAAAAGCACCAGTATCTAGCAATGCAGCCGATAGGCAGCAGCAGTAGCAGAGGCAGCGCCAGCAACAGCAGTAGCAACAACAGCTGCAGTCGCAACAGCAGCAGCAGCGACAGCGGCAACAGCAGCACCAGTAGCAGCGGTACAACTTCAGTGTACAAGCCCAGTACTTGAGCAGCTTCTTGTAGCCGATGTTTTTCTGCTCTTCCTCTAGCAGGGTCTCACTCCTTCGGGTCCACCTCCGCCGCCCCCTTGCCCCCTCCTCTGCGATATATATATATACATATAGAGGATGCACATACACATTTTCATGCACATACTGTGGCCCATTCGCGCCAAGTAGCACGCACTCTTCTACCTCTTCCTCCTGGTCCTCCTCTTTCTCCCCCTCTTCCTTCTCCTCCTTCTCCGCTGTCCATTTTATCAATTACACACGATGGGCCCTCCTTTCTGGGTA